TCAATGTGGAACAGTTAAAGGTCCAATAAAGAGGTCAGTATTTAGATGACAGATTTAGAGATCACCTTTGTGAAAAGGCTGTTGCAGTCAAGGATGGCTGAGGCAGATGGGTAAGTTCAATATGTTTATCAGGATTTACTGCAGTCACATCAGGCAAGTACAAAGCAAGGTCAAGGTAACAGAACTACTGCCCACTGCACACTAACCCCACGCCACACACTGCGCTAAGTGCTGCACGCAGGGATCACACCCTCGTAACCACCTTCGGAGGAGCACTCCTATTTCCACTTGTTAATGTGGAGACCCAGGGCAAGCATGGTGAATTTAGAAACGGAAGCCAGGGCAAACTGCACGGCTCTAGGTAATACTTTGATTCCCGACCGAACGACATTCTCTCATGTGTAACGCTGTAGTGACTTAACACACATTCACTTAAGGTGACTTAATTCATAGTCAATATCTATCATCTATCTTTTCAAACTAATACTAAAAACACAACTGTTATGAAGGGGGTGTGTTAAATACTTGTGATATTTAAAGGAGGAGAGGGGTGACTGCCTGAACCGCGCTTCCCACCCCCAGGTGCACAGCTAACAGAAACACACCTGTATTCAGCAGAAGACAAGCCCCAGAATATTCAGAGATTCTATTTTTACAGCCCCAAACGAGACCGCCTTCAGTAGAATGAATAAATAAAATGCGGTATAGTCAAAGAAATACCAGAGAGCAATAAAAATTACTGCTACACCAAGTAAATACAAATGGACTTTCACAAACACGATGCTGAGTGAGAGAAGCCAGTCACAAGAGTAAATACTGAATGGTTCTAATGAATGAAGCACAAAAACAAGCAGAATTATCTACACCATTAGAAGTCAAGATAACACCACCTGTGCGGGAGGGGAGCAGGCAGACTGGGCCGGGTCGGGGGTGAGGAGAGCACTGCGGGTGCCTCTGGGAGTGCTGGTGGCACAGATGTGTCCAGAAGTTTATCCCACTACCCACTTACAATGTACACACTTTTCTACATGCACATACTTCAGCAAGGTTGTCATTGTTTTTTCTTTTAAGGACCCTCCCACTCAAAAACAGTGGGAAATAATTCTGTAGAAGAGACCAAGGATTCAAATCCAGTCTCTCAGAACCCAAAACCTTGCTTTTTTTCTTTTACCAAACTGCTTCCTTGGAGATTATCTACCGGACAGAAGTGGCTTTGCCAGATAAAAGCAAACATGGTACAAGTGATAAAAGTAGCCATTAAATAGGGCCGCTTAAGCAAAGGCACCAAACTGGATGAATCACTACCACGCACCACGGGGTCTCCTTCCACAGCTGTGACCATCTATGGACACAGTCTTTTAAAATGTATTAAAGGCAAATAACCATTCAAATTACCAAATCACACTTCTGACAATAAATCAATGAAAAGAAAATCCAGCCCCCATGAAGGAAAAAAATGCATGATCCTCCAACAGAAGTCCCAGCATGTAACTCACATAAAGTCAATGGGGTCTCCATGTCCTGGCCTGTAAAACAAAGATGCAGCTGATACCCACTCCAGAAGGCTACTCTGGAAGGAATGAGATGGAACCCGCAAAACTGCTTAGAAAACTGCCTTGCACGGCACAAGGGCTCAGTAAGTGTGAGCTGTCGTTGCCCCTCTGATAAATGACACAGCGCATCGAGTCTATCTGGATTACATACATGAGTTAAGTTTCCCGGAACACCAGAATAGTACACCCCATATTCTCCGTACCTTTATTTATGAAAGCTGCCTGAGACAATTCTGACAAAGAACTCTGAACTGGCTACTTATAAGTTCATTCAACAACCATATGTTACATACTCACCAAGAATCAAAAACTGGGCAAGAATCTGAGGATGGGGCAAACAAAAGGCAAGATTCTTTCCACCATGGAACATACAGTCTACAAGCAAAAATAAGAACTAAACCATCTAATCACACACACGGAGAGAGGTACGTACTGTGGGGGAACATGAAGGCAGGATTAAAGACAGCAGTGCACCAGGACACAGTGGAGACAGAGATCTGAGAAGGGCTTCTCTGAGGAAGGGATACTTAACCTGAGCACCGAGGAGCAGCAGTAGCAGCAGCAGCCACAGGTATGGACGTGAGAACACCCAGGCCAGGGAAAGAGCCACGCGTGAAGGCTCTGCAGCTGGACACAGCCCAGCCCACTTAACGAAGTGAAGTGAGGCCAGGGTGGCTGCAGCTTGTGAACAAGGCAGAGAACGTTCAGCTCGCTTCCTCTTCCCCCAGGTCTCTGCGCGGCTGGTTCCTCATCATTCAGGCCTCACTCATCTCACGTGCTCCCCCGAGAGGCTTCCTTCTACCACTCTATCTAAAGAATCAGGGAGGGGACAGGGCACGGATAGGGGAGCACAGAGGGTTTCTAGAGCAGTGATGCCATACGGATGGACACACACCATTATACACTCGTCCAGACCCCTAGGATGAGCAGCACCCAGGGTGAACCCCAGCGTAAACCCTGCACTCTGACTGATCATGATGTGCCAATACAGGTTCAGTCACAGCAAACGTACCACTGTGGTGGGGATGCTGATCGTGGGGGAGGCGAGGCAAGTGCGAGGACTGGGCGTATGTGCAAAATCTCGTACATTCCCGACTTTGCTGGGAACCTAAAAAAATGCTCCTCTAAAAAAAGGTCTTAAAAATAAAAAGTTCGGAATATGACACCAACAGCACTAGACAAATCACTAGACAAGTAGGACTGCGTCACACTGCAAAGCTCCTGCACAGCAAAAACAACTGACAGTGACAGGGTAGCCTGTGGGACAGGAGAGGACATCTGCAAACCACACATCCGACAAGGGGTAAACATCCAAAATATATAAACTCCTATAACTCAACACATACACACACAAAAAAGCCTTAAAAATGTGCAAAGGACTTAAACAGACATTTCTCCAAAAGCCACACAAATGGCCGGCAGGTGTATGAGTGGGAAGCTCAACCTTTACTAATCATCGGGGAAATGCAAATCACAACGGCAGTGAAATGCCCGGGTCACACCTGCCAGGACAGCCATCATCAGAAGGGCGAACAGTGCAGGCGCTGATGAGGACGTGCGGAAATCAGCACCTCGCACGCTGCGGGTGGGAATGTAAAATGCTGCGGCCGCCATGGAAAGCAGTATGGGAGCTCCTCAAAGAACTAAAGTAGAACCACCATAACCCGGTCATCCCACTTCTGGGTATTCATCCCAAAGAACTACAGCATGTTATCTGAAGAGAAATCTCGAGCAGGATTCGCAACAGCCAAGAGGTGGAAACCACCTAGACAACCATCCGTGGACGGACATACACGTATCAGTCAACTACTCTTCAGCCTTCAGAAAGAAGCCCTGTCACCTGGTACAGCACAGAACGAACCTGAGGACACTGCGCAGTGAGAGAAGCCGTCGCAGGAGGACAAACACTGCGTGATTCCACCTGTGTGAGGCACCTACAGCTGCCAGCTCACAGAAGCAGAAAGCAGGACGGTGGCTGCCCAGGGCCGGGAGGTGCGGAAAACGGGGACAGGGCTTCGGCCGTCAAGCTGAAGAGGTTCGAGGGTCTGCGGCACAGCAACGTGCACACAGCCAGCAATGACGGGCTGGACACACCGACATTCAGGGCAGGCGATTTCACGCGGCGTGTTCACTGCAGTGAAGAGAAAAGGGAACCCCAGCGGTAGTGCTTGCTGGCTGAGCAACTGCCCTGGCCTTGGGAGCACCTGAGGGAGACTCAAGCCGCTCGGCCTGGAGGGGGACGCGTCAGCTGCTACAACACAACGTTGTAAAAGGTCAACAAGAAAGCAAAGCCTTAATGCGGAAGGAAGTCCTTGCCCCAAGTATCTGTGAAACTTCTTTTAAAACAGTGATGCCAGTACGAAGGCCAAATCACACTAAACTTACTGTAAGCAAACCTTTTTTTAATCCTCTAAGTTAGGAATCTGTTCTGTGCAAGCAGGGACACACGTACACACAAGGACACAAGTCATCTTTCAATGTAGCACCATCTAGCCAAGAGTATAACGTTAGCTTACAGAGTGTTACCAAGAATACAAGAAGAAATACTCCGTTATTTCTACAGTGCTCTTGTGAAATTCTTACTAAAGACCTGGAAAGACAAGACTACCCTCTGGAGTTCAAACCAACACCCCTACTACCCACCCAGTGAGCTTATCTCTTAGGACGGTAGATGCAGTTCCAAGTAGAGGCTTTCAGTGCTTTTGACTACAAGCCTCAGTAAGAAATGTATGTAGTATTCATATCTAAAAACACATGCTTATCTACACAAAACTAAACAATTTCATCAAAGCACATAGTTTAAACGTATGTTACATGCGCCTCAATTTCTTTACCCTCTCTGCTGTCTAATTAGCACTGCTCTAGCACCAAAATACAGCTCACACAGTACCAATGGGCTCACCAGTCTGAGAAACACTGCTTTGGAAACACAACACAACATGCTACATTAACTGCAAGGCTCCGAAGCACAGGGCAAAATGACGCTCACACTGCGCTCCAGGTACAGCTGCCTGAGGAAGTGAGAAGCTGCTCTCTTCTGCGGGGAGTGAAAGACTAAAACCTGCCTTCTTTCCCCACAATTCTACTGACTCCCAAGGTATGCACTGGAGATAAACTCTATCTGTAGTTCCAGAAAGCAATTATTTTCTCCAAAAATAGAAGTGATAATGCCATCACCAAAGCGTTATAAGGGTCATACGGTAGCTACAAAAGCCCCATTTCCTGTTGTAAACAGGACAGGGCAGAGTAAGTACAGTTTTAAGTGTCAACAGAAGAGGCGTGACTAACACCTAGCTAATTCAAGAGTAAGAGACTTCAAACTATCCTGAACAAAACTCACAAACGTGCTCAAGGCTGCTTTTCAGGCCAGCCTCATTTTAGCAAAGTCCCCACACTTCTTTCAATATCCTCCCTCCAGCCACATTCCCACAAACTTGTTTTACTTACCATCCTTTTGCTTGCACTTACTTTCTTATGAGAGGAAGAAAGGGCAGCTGCCTCTACCACAGGCCCCAGGTCTGCGTGGCAGGCGCCATCCTCATCACTCCTGCTGCCATCAAGCTGGTGCCCCTTCCTGAGCCTTATGTCTGGCTCTGGAGTCCTGCTGTACCCCAGTCGGTGTTCTGCTGTCTCGTTCATGGGATACCCAAGCCTTTCTTACAAAGAGGTCTTTCTTTCTGTCCCTTCTTCTTGGGAGGATGGACTTTTAGGATAGTGAGGTGACCCTAAGGAGAGAAAGCTTTGAATTAATATATTTGACTGAGTGCTGGGAGAAGACACAGGTTGTATTACTATACATTAAAACTTGAATTTTCTATAATCATTAAGAACAATAAAATAATCATGTATTTTTTAAAAACCCTGTATTTGTTTTTTTTTAAACCCTGTATTTGTTTACAGGAAGGATTGCCAGAATCTATTTTTAAATGAAAAAAGCAGAATACAAAAGACATGTTTAACATCTGCCCATTCATATTATAAAAATATTTAACTGCAAGTAAGTATACATGTACACAGAATAACTACTTAGATACTCAAAACTGTGTTCTTGGTACAGAAGCACACAGGGACGAATCTAGGAGTGAGAAGGCTTAGTTTTCATTTTGTTCTGCCTGTATTTTTTTTTTACAATATGCCATACTTTCTCAATTAAAAAACATACCTAACTGCAGAAAGAAATGTATTGCAACTACGTTTTACATACCCAGTTTCATTTAAATCATCACAATGAACCATCCTGTTGTTTTTATTTCTACTTCACAGGTGAGGAAACCAAAATTCACCATATTTCTACGAAATAAATAAGACGACGTCTCTGACTGAAGTGGCATATATTATTGGTAACGTTTTGATCTAAGTTGCTTGATGTCTGAAACGCCAATATTTTTTACCTGCTTTGAACTCTGACTAGACTGCCCTGGAAGGCAGTACTCAGGCCTTTCACACCCCTGTGAGTCGCAAAAAGCACGATGCACCTAAATGTTTAATGAATACGACAGATGACATTCAAATGTTAAGTAGCAAAAAACACTTCCAGAAACCATCGCTATTTCTCTAAACTGGATTGCAGTAAGTTTCCTGGGAGCTTAATAATTAAATTAATAAAAATCCTTCGCCCTCTACCTCCTAACTCACAGTAAAAAAGCTTAAAATTTCAGAGATTTAAGTTACATATCCAAATAAGGTGATTATCACAGCCAATCCAACTGGAAAGACTAAAACAGGAAGAGGCCAGGGGACATGCTATGCACATAAATCCCATGAGATTCAAAATTCTTACTGGGGGAGAGAAGGAGCAGGGCAAAGTGGGAGGGCCTGGATGCCATTAAAAAACGGCAAAAGGTTAACATCTGCCAATCTCAAAACTCCCAAACTTAACCCCCCACCCCCGCCACCACAAGGCTGTTTACTCTGCCTGCAAGTCTTTGTTTTGCAGATGAGTTCATTAGTAGTGTTCTCTTTCCTCCTTTTTCGTTTTTGGATCCCTCATGAGTGATATCACACGGTACTTTTCTTTCTCTTTTTGTGACACATTGTAACTGACTATACTTCAATTTAAAAAAAAAAAGGTAAAGGAGTGTCCATATATATGGGTACGTGAGACTGAGAATTAGCTCAAGAGTTCGAATTAGAGTAAGAATTAGCCAACTGTTAGTTTCATAAATCACTTTAGTTCACTGTGGATTTCTCCAGAGTCCTCTAAAGTTTTCAGAACAAGAACAAACACAAATCTTTAAGGATAAGCAAACCTGGGTATGTGCCTGTCACATAAGGGCCCAAGCAAGCACTCAGATCATAAACTATGCTATCAATACCCAATTCTGAAGGAGGAAACAATGCTAGTGATTTATATTTACTTATTTATTTACAGCTCACAAAGCTGTTTCACACCCACTTCATTGTGTTTCAGGGGAGAAAGAAGGACCTAACATTTATTGCAGATATACAGAGCTAAATTCTGTACAAAGAATTTACACGTAGTTTCTCACATAATTCTTACATTTAGTCGTCTGAGGTGTTCTACCCCCCCATCTGAGAGATGTGGAAACTGAGGCTCAGAGATTAGGTAACGTGATCAAGGCCGTTAGCCTCTAAGAGCAGCTGGAAAAATAAACTGTTCAGCTGTACACAGATAAGTGACTGTCTTGCTATGAAGAGTAAAAATTAGGGAAAGTGGAGCTAGGCTTTAATTCGCTCTAAGATTCTTAACAGTAAAAAGGAGTGAGGTGAGAGATGGAAAGTAAGATTCCAGAGTACCATCATGTGTTATCAGAAGAGTTCATCTCTTCCTCAGAAAATTCTCACTGGTCAAGATTCTATGACCACTATGTGGTATTACACAGAGCTGCGGCAGGGCGGGGCGAGGAACCCAACATGAACAGAAAGCAGCTGGCAGGAAGGACGAGTGGCTGAGGGGTACTCAGTGTATGAGCAGATGCGGAAATCCTACGCATCCCGACCCCTGCACCTTCAGCAAGGTGCAGATCTAAGGTCGTAAATTAAAATCTCTGGGAGGCCAGGAAGTGGTGATGAGGAAAGAAAGACAATACTACGGTAAGTTTTTCAAATTCCTGCACTGCCAACCACTTCCCTTGCCAGTTAATGAATGTGACAGAGGTCTTCCTTCCAGCATGGTTCTCTAAAGACTCGCCATCTGCCATGGATTTTTAAGGTTGTTTAAAAATTAGGATATCGAGTCTTCAAATTCTAAGGGCCAGTGGAGTAACGTCCCTTTGTACTAGCTGGGACAGAGCGAGTGGGGTGCAGCATTCTGCCTGGTGGTAGCACTTTCTAGCTCTATAATTAGATTACTCAGCAGTAGAGGACAGGCTACAAAATATGTCCCATGGTTTGTCCTCTGAAGGGAAAGTAGCCAACCTCAAGGTGACCTGAAAGTTGCACACTGAGATGATCCCAGTGTGGCCTGCCACTCCACGCTGAGGTATGCGTCTGAAGTTGGTGCACGCTACTGAGATTTCTGGTGTCAAGTTCACGCTCTCGCCTGACGGAACCGGAACCGCGTGCGGTACAAGATGTTCTACATGGAAGCGTGGCTATGCTGCCCCTTGTCACCTCCGCTTTCAGACTCCACTGTGACGTCAACACAGTGGATGCAAATCTGAACTACTAACAGTGAAATGAGATTATTTTTTAGGACGGTAAAGTTTATTTCAACAATGAGACCAGCAGGGTTATTAAAGGTACCAGGTTTTCTTCTGAGCAGTAGCTATTTTTTCTCTTTTTAAATCACTATTAAAAATAAGTACTAGATGTGTTACCCTGACTGGCTTAAGTCTTTAGAGAAACCTGCTGGAAAATTTCTGTCACACTAACTGGCAAGGAAAGGGGTTGGACCTCTTAAAATTAACACTTAAAAATCTTTACTACAAATGACCGACAGACACATGAAAAAATGCTCAGTATCACTAATTATCAGAGAAATGCAAGACAAAACTACAATAAGGTATCACCTCACACCAGTCAGAATGGCCATCATTCAAAAGTCCACAAATGATAAATGCTGGGGAGGGTGTGGAGAAAAGGGAACCCTCCTACACTGTTGGTGGGAATGCAGTCTGTTGTAGCCATTGCGGAAAACATCACGGAGATTCCTCAAAAGACTTACCATATGACCCAGCAATCCCACTCCTGGGCATATATCCAGAGGGAACCTTAATTCAAAAAGACACCTGCACCCCAATGTTCACAGCAACACTATATACAACAGCCAAGACATGGAAACAACCTAAATGTCCATCGACAGATGACTGGATAAAGAAGTTGTGGTATATTTATACAAAGGAATACTATTTGGCCATAAAAAATGATAAAATAACGCCATTTGCAGCAACATGGATGTCCCTGGAGAAGGTCATTCTAAGTGAAGTAAGACAGAAAGAGAAAAATACCATGTATCACTCATATGCAGAATCTTAAAAAAAAAAAAAAGACAAATGAACTTACATATAAAACAGTAACAGATTCACAGACATAGAATACAGATTTGTGGTTGCCAGGGTGGAGGTGGGAGGTAAGGGATAAACTGGGAGTTTGAGATTTGCAGATATTGACTGCAAATACATGAAGTAGATAAACAAGTTTCTACTGCACAGCACAGGGAACTATACTCAATATCTTGTAGTAACCGATGGTGAAAAAGAATATGAAAATAAATACATGTACATTCATGTATGACGGAAGCACTGTGCAGTACGCTGGAAATTGAGACAACATTGTAAACTGACTATACCTCAATAAAAAACTAAATAAATGAGTTAAGTTTTACAGTGATGGGGGAGAGGGGGGTCTTCAAAACAGCCCGCATCTATTTCTCTCCACTCCCACTTCCTGGTTCAAGGTGACGCCATCTCTCACCTGTCTGAGCTTGTATCCCACCCCCCTCCCCTCCGACCCAGCCCTCACACAGCCACAGCAGGCACAGTGGTCCTGACCAAAAGGCACGCCCTTGCGCTGGGGGCCCTCCAATGGCTTTCCTTTACACCTAGGAAACCTCCTGCCCGGCTTATAAAACCCTAACTGACTTAGCCCCTCTCTCTGGCCTCCTTCTGAGCCACGTGGCCCTCACCAACTACATTTCAGCCACGAGGACCGCCGCAGCTCTGAGGGCCCCGCGCAGCCTGGATGCCAAGGCCTGGGGAGCCCATGGCCCAGCTCTTCCCTGGGCTGGCCCCATTCCCACATGCCGATCCCAACGTAAAGGTCACCTCCTCAAAGAATCCTCCTCTGACCACATATCTCAGTCACTCTTGATCGCCTCACCTGTCCCTCTCCGTCACAGTCTGTCCCTGACACTTACATTTCTTTGCTTGCTAACGGTCCTCTCCCACGGGGCTGGAGACTGCTGAGAGAAGAGGCAGTATGCATCTCTACTCCTGCACGCCCAGCACCTGGAGCAGCCACTGGCGGACAGCAGGCGTACCCAGAAAACACGTGCCACGTAAGTAAGGAGCGGATTACCACCCCCACTTCAGAGTAATTTCATGGGCAGACACCAAGTTCCCTGACTTCCCCCATCTCCTGACACAACCCCTTTACTCTTCTCATTCATTAACTCTACTTCAGCACCTGTTTAGTTTCTGTTACAGTGCCCGTCAGAATTTATTCCACGTGCTTGTTCACGTGCCTGTCTTCCCTCCTGAACAGAAAACTTCTCATGGTCAGAGGGCCCTTTTTCGGAATCCATTTTTGTATCCTTCTGCAGGAT